GATAAAGTCCCTCACCTCGTGGGATGACATTCCAGCGAGCAAACAGGCAGTGAACAAAAAGAAGAAGCAACCTGTATACATAGTTTGCCAGATGCTGATAAGTGTCTGGAGAAAAACAAAGCAGGAAGGAGGGTGGAGAGTTGGGGCAGGGTGAGTTTCACATAGGTTGGTCAGGGCAGGCCTCCCTGAAAAAATGACATTCGAGAAAGACTTGACAGGGGTGAGGAACTGAACCACGTGGACACCTGGAGGAAAGCTGGTCCGGGTAGAGGGCTTCTGAGGCAGAAACGTGCCTGGTGTGTTTGAAGGGACAGGGAAGGGGACAGTGTTTCTGGAACAGGGTGAGCAGGGCCAGGGAAGAGCCTTAGGACCTAAGATCAGGAGGTAGTTTCTCCAGCTCAAGTGTAATGGGAGGATTTGTTTGTGGGGAGAGGATGGCAGGGGGGCAGCTCCTGCAGGCAGCAGAGCTTGGGTGAAGGTATGGAGGAACAAGGCTGAAGCAGGTCCAGCCGTGCCTTCCCCTGCGGTTAGAGAGTAGATGAGGCAGTTAGGAACCAGCCAAGGGCAGGCTTGGAGAGAGACGACTTCCTGCAAGAGGAGGTGCTGGTCTGCACGGGAGGCCTTATGGCAAAGGCTGGTCTGGCAGGCAGAGTGGGGGTTGTGGGAGACACAGTAGGGTAGGGCATGAGTGGGTGCCCCCGCGCCGCCTCTCCCTCATGCTCTCTCCCTCCCCACCCCGGCCTGGGCAGTACCTGATGGAGGGCAGCTACAACAAGGTGTTCCTGGCCAAGGGCAACATCCCCGCCGAGAGCTACACCTTCTTCATCGACATCCTGCTGGACACTATCCGGTGCGTGGGGAGCCGGAGCCTCGGGGGGTTCACAGAGATCTTGGACTCCGGTGTCAGACGGTCCTGGCCTTGAATCCCAGTCTGGTTCCTTGTGATCTGCGGGGGCTGGGTGCACTTCTTATCCTCCTAGCACCTGAGTTCTCCTCTTCTCTGAGCTGGAGCTGGGCACGAGATTGTGGACGGTGGCCTCCATCTCGCCTCGGGCTCTTGGTTGTGCTTACACGTGTACAGCCCTGAGTGCGGGTTTGGCGCCCAGACAGCCTCACAGACAGGGACCGTGCTGCCTCTGCTAGAAGTGCCCCAGCTTCTCTCCTCAGGTCACTTCACTTCTGGGACCCTCACTTTCTCCTTCTCTACAATGAGGCCAGCAAGTCGCACCAGCCCCTCAGGGTGCTGTGGGCGCAAGTGACATCACATGGGCAGGTGGGCGTGGCATGCAGGTCCCTTGAGTAAAAGGGTGTCCAAGTGGTGGCAGAGCTGTTCCCTCAGACATAGCACCAGATTGAGATGGGTTTTTGTGCCTTGGGTGACACAGCCAAGCCCAGTGATGGGGTGGGGGTGAGGAGGGGTGGCTTAGTGGGCTTAGGTTATTTTTTATTCAATATTTCAGCCATCCAAAATGAAGATAATGATGTAATGAACATTTACGTACGAAACACTTGGCCTAAGAGATACATATCTCAGAGGCAGATGGCCTACCCCGCTCTACCCCTCCCCGTCCGTCACTGTTTTTCCTCCAGGCTAGCCCTTCCCCCATTTCGATGACTTGACCCCTTGCTATTTGTCTACTTCAGCCTTGATCATGATGCCTCTTGACAGAGGTGCAGGGAACCCCCCTCAGGAATCTTTGAAGGGAAAAAAGCCAGTTGCCGCCGAGTCCCGTCTGTCTCACGGTGGCCCCATGTGTGTCAGTAGGACTGTGTTCCGTAGGGTTTTCACTGGTTGATTTTTTTCTTTTTTTATTGTTGTGGTTTAAATGAAGTTTACATTTCAAGTTAGTCTCCCATACAAAATTTATACATACATTGTTATGTGACCCTAATTGCTTTCCCCCACACTGTGAGAGCACACTCCTCCTTTCCACCCCAGATTCCCCATGTGCATTCAGCCAGCTCCTAACCCTCTGCCTTCCCATCTCACCTCCAGACAGAAGCTGCCTGTTTAGTCTCTTGTATCTACTTGAGCTAAGAGGCACACTCCTCACGACTATCACTTTATGTCCCACAGTCTAGTCCAATCCTTGTCTGAAGAGTTGGCCTCAGAAATTGTTTTAGTTCTGGGCTGATAGAGAATCCAGGGGCCATGCTTTCTGGGGTTCCTCCAGTCTCAGACCATTGAGTCTGGTCTTACTAGAATTTGAGTTCTGCACCCCACCTTTCTCCTGCTCCATCATGGACTCTGTTGTGTTCCCTGTCAGGGCGGTCATTGGTGGTAGCCGGGCACCATCTAGTTCTTCTGGTCTCAGGCTGATGAAGTCTCTGGTTTATGTGGCCCTTTCTGTCTCTTGGGCTAATACTTTCCTTGTGTCTTTGGTGTTCTTCATTCTCCTTTACTCCAGGTGGTTGGGACCAATTGATGCATCTTACATGGCTGCTTGCAAGCTTTTAAGACCCCAGACGCCACTCACCAAAGTAGGATGCAGAACATTTTCTTAATAAGCTTTGTTATGCCAGTTGACCTAGATGTCCCCTAAAAGCATGGTCCCCAGACCCCTACCCCTGCTACTCTGTTCCTCAAAATGTTGGATTGTATTCAGGAAACTTCTTAGCTTTGGTTTAGTCCAGTTGTGCTGACTTCCCCTGTTCACTGGTTGATTTTTTGGAATTAGATCACCAGGTCTTTCTTCCAAGGTGCTTTTGGGGTTGGCAGCCAAGCGTGTTAACCATTTACACCACCCAGCAACTCCTCTTTGAAGGAAGGGGATGTTAGGTGAAGAGATCCCCTCCCGTGAATCCCAAAACTGGGTTTCAGATAGCCCAAAATCCTCGTGGCTGGGAATGGAGTTCCGAGATTGGGCCAGGGAGTCAGAGAGATCTGGTGTGCATTGCACTGGGGCCTTCCTTGCTTTGTAACTCAGATCAGGTGACTCCCCTCTCTCTGAGCCCCAGTCAGTAAAACGGGGCAGCTAACAGGTTCTGCCCAGTGGTGTTGAGCTGAGGAGTCAGCTCACATGTGTCAAGCCTGGGAGGACAGGGCCTGGGAGACAGTGTGCTCAGTGATGAGAATCTCATACGTCTTCCCGCAGGGATGAAATTGCCGGGTGCATTGAGAAGGCCTATGAGAAAATCCTCTTCACTGAGGCCGCCCGGATCCTCTTCTTCAGCACGCCTAAAAAGATGACAGACTACGCCAAGAAGGTGGCTGGGGCTCAGGGCCGGGGGCCGTGGGGCCATGGGGCCAGCGGGGACTCGCACTAACACCTGCGTGGGGCAGCCTGGAGCGACTGGAACTAGACGGCCCAGGTTTAAATCCAGCTATGTGGCCTTGGGCAGGCCAGTGAACCTCTCCGAGCTTTAGTTTCCTTAGCTGTCGAATAGGGCCAGAGTTTAACACGGGGGATGAGCTTAGCACAGCGGCTGGTACCAGGTGGAGGTGGATGCTCAGCACACGTGGGCTGTTGTCCTTTTAGCAGAACCCCTTGGGGGTTGCAGCTTTTCCCGCAACTTTGCTCCATTTGGTGTGGGGTATTTGAGTAGGAGCAGTGCCCCTGGAGATAGTGATGCATGGGGTACAGTGAGGCTGGGGTCCAAGGAGGCAGGAGGTGGGTAGAGAACAGACTGGAAGGGGGTGAAATTCAGTTAGAGTGACGATGACAGCTGATATTTATCCATCACTTACTCTGGGCCTAACACTGTTCTCAGCATTTTAGAGGTGTCGATTAAATCTTCACACCAGACCCAGGAGGGGTGTGTGATTAGGCTCCCATCTCACAGATGGAGAAGCTGAGGCACGGAGAGGTACAGTCACTTGCCTAGAGTTGCGGGAGTAGAGTAGGGTTGTGGGGAAAGTGAGGGCCCGTGCTGGTAAGCCCTGGCTCCGTGGGGTGGGAGGGAGCCTTTGTGGTCACCCCCCCCATCTTATCCCTCCCTTCCCACAGCGAGGGTGGGTCCTGGGCCCCAACAACCACTACAGCTTTGCCAGCCAGCAGCAGAAGCCAGAAGACACCACCATTCCCTCCACAGAGCTGGCCAAACAGGTCATCGAGTATGCCCGGCAGTTGGAGATGATCGTCTGAGCCCACTGGGCACGGAGCTGGGGTGGGGCGTGCGTTATTTAAAGCAATTATGGTGCAGGGTTGTTCTCCAATAAAGGTGGATTGACCCTGTCTCTCTTGGGCCCTTGTCTGCCCAGGGTGGGATGGCAGGGGATGGGGATCCCACCATGGGGTCCTTGGGAATCTCAGATAACAGCCTCCCTCGGGGTCAGCCTCTCTGTTCGGTGACCATCCTCCAGGGTCTCAAACACAGATGCCTGCAGGGGCCCAGTGGAACTGGCCTGCGGGAGAGCGCTGGCCTCTTCGGTAGAGGAGCTGTTCCTTCAGCAGGAGTGCCAGGCCCAGGCATCAGATTTCTTCAGAGAAGGGGATTAGTTTTGACATGTGCAGTGAAACCCATCCGAGGGCTGCCAGTTTGCAAACCGCCTGGGCCCCATCTTGTGGGCCTGTGCGGTGATTTATGGACCCTGCCGCCGCCCCCGGCCTCGTTTCCTGTCCTGACATTTCTCTGGAAGGCCTTCAAAGCACAAAGTCTAAATCCGGCTGAGCCATTTGTGGGATGTGGGATTTTGAAGAACATCTTCCAAAGCCAGTCCCCCCACCCCCGCTGTAAAATGGGAGGGAACTATCCTGCTTTCCAGAGTCGTTTGTGCGGGACCCCTGAGCTTGGCACCAGTCAGCTCAGAAATGGGGCTCATGGGTTGAGGGGAATGAGACGGCCACACCCCCAGGCCCATCAGTTTGCATGCTGGATGAGTGGACACTTGGCTCTCGCTGCCCTGGATCCAGCCTCTCCTCCCCCAGACGCGGTACTTTCACAGAGGTCTGCCTGCCCCTCACCCTCCTTTCAACCGTCAGCAGGTGACTGACAGGCAGCTAGTCATCTGGATGGTTTATTGGTGGGGAATGGAGAGCAGAGTGTGGCGAGCTGACCACTTATTTGGAATGGGTGGCCTGCAGGTCGTAGTGATCCAGCCCTGCCACCAGGGAGCCGGCCAGTTTGATGGTGGCCACCCAGGGCGGCTCGCTCAGGTGGTTGGTGGGTGTGCTCAGCCTAGGAGGAGGGGAGGATCAGCAGGGCCTGGCTGTGTGGCCAGGCCCCCACGCCCTCTAGGCTTCAGTCTGTATAAGGAAGTTTCTGAAGGTCATGTTCTGAATATCCCAAGGGCAGCTTAGGGCAGGGCTGTGCCCACTTAGTAGGAAGGAGTAGGGGTGAGGGTTGGCAAATGTCCCCCCAGAGGCCCCAGCTTAGCCCCAAGTGGGCCAGGTCAGAGGGTCTCCCAGTGATTCAGGGTCCACAGGAGCCAGGGTCAGGCCCTGGTGACCAGGTCCTGAGACTCAGTGTGGGAAGTGCTTGTGGGATGCAGTGTCTCCCCAGGATCTGAGAACTCAAGGGCCGGGACATCAGTGCCCTCTGGTGGTCAAAGTTGCTAAAGGCTGTAGAGACAAGTCAGGAGTTTGAGGGGCTAGACACCGGGTTTCCCGTGTGCAGGAAAGTTGGAGGCCTACGTTTACTTACATTTGGTTCCAGGAAGACAATCATTCCCCCCCCCCCCCCCCACCAAGAGCTTAGGGCATGGTCCCTTCTGGTGCCCTCAGGGACAGGGTCAAGTCAGGTGGGACCAGCTTTCTTCCCTGATGGTTCCAGAGAGTTAACAGGAAGCCAAGGGTCAGCTTAGGGGTCAGGATACCAAAGGGCTAGGCCAGAGTGTCCCCTCTCCCCTGTCAAGGGTCAGCATGGGGTCAGGGCGCCTCTTGGCCCTGAAGGATAGCTCAGCCAGCTGAGGTGGAGATGCAGCCAAGGGAGGGTCAAGGGTCAACGCGAGGTCAGGACCCCAAAAGGCTGAATGGGGCTCCCTATCCTGGAAGGTCCGGGGTTGAGGATGTCGAGGGGCACACCCTCCCCCATCGCGCCCCCACCCCCCTCACCAGGCAGACACGTTTCGTGGCAGGCGGCGACGGCGTGGTTGGTGGCGGCAGTAACACTTGCAGGGACAAGAGTTAAGCACCTGGAAGGGCGGCCAGTGGCGCGCAGCGCCCGAGTTAGCCGCTCCCGCCTGAGGGGCCCCGCCGCCACCACCGGCTCCACCGCTGTCAGCCCTGTGGACCACGGCACGTTCACAAGGACCGTCTCCAGGCGCACCATCCTCACGGGTCGCAGCCCGGGCCGCGCGGGGGCCCTTGTTCCTGCGCGCACGGGCCTTGACGGGCGCGGGCACTGACTCCGCGGCGGTGGGAGCTGGAGCCGGGGATGGGGCCGGGGCGGGGGCCGGGGATGGGGCCGGGGCCGGGGCCGGCTCCGCGGCCAAGGCGGGGGGCGGAGCAGGGGCCTGGGAGGGAGCCGGGGCAGCCTCTGCAGGGTCCGGGCCTGGGATGGGCAGGAGCGCCACGGGTGGAGGTGCTGGCTGGAGCGCCGGCGGCGTAGGTGGCGGCGTGGGGGGTGGTGGCGGCGGCAACTCCTGTGGGCCGGGAGGCCCGGAGCGTCCAGGCTCGTCATTAGTGGGCGCTGGGAAGATGAACATAGGCGGCGCCAGGAGCGCGGGTGCCGGCCTCCGGGGCCCGGGGGCTGGGTGTGTCTGCCCCGGCGGCGGCGGCGGGGAGCCCCAGGGCCCCGAGAACGCTGCCGCGCGCCGTCGGGGCGGCCCGACACCTCCGCCAGCCCCATTGAAGCGGAAGCGGTGTTCGGGGACTTCGGGCGGGCTCACCCAGTCGAATTTGGGTTTGGAGCCTGGGAAGGTGGTGTAAGGTGGCGGCGGGAGGGCCCGGGCGTGGGACGCCGGCGCTGAAGGCAGACCAGAACACCCCTCGCCGTCTCCGTCACCTCCCTCGGCTTCCTGAGACCCCGGAGGGGCCTCTCCAGAGGGGCGAACGGCCCTAGGAGCTAGGGGCCCCTGCTTCAGGATCTCAGCGTAAGAGATGGCGCCCGAGGTGGCGGAGAAGAGTCCTCCCCCTCCGCCGCCCCCGAGCGAGGCTTTGGCCCCTAAGGAACCCGAGGCAGCCGCAGGGGACAAAGGGGGTCCCGACTTGAAGGTGACCTTACATAGCAGGCTCAGGCCGGGCTCGGAGGACGCGGGCCGGGCCATTTCGCCCCCGCCCGCTTCGGGAGGCGCCCCTCCGCGGGCCCCGCCAGCCGTCCGGCTCTCGCCACTGGCTTGACTTGCTGTGGGGGTCGCGGCAAGTGCGGCTAGAGCGGGAGGAATTCTGCGATCGGGGGGCTGCCGGTCGGAAGACGGCTGTGCTGGCGGCTTCCGCGGCTCCACGGGCGGCGGAGACCGGGCTGGGGCACTCGGTGCGGGCGCGGGGTCCGCTTCTGTTAGTTGCCGGGGCCGCGGAGGCAGCAGGCGGAAGCTCGAAGGGTCGCCCTGGCCGCGATGGCTCGCCTCCAGCAGGCTGCGGATCCGGGGCACTGGGGTGCCCGTGGGTTTTCGCCACTTAGACGGAGCGGGCAGCAGGGTCCCCACGGGGGGCGGGGGTGGTGTGGAGACCGCGGCTGCAGCCGCCTCCTGTGGAGGGGGCGTCACTGGCGAGGGCAGTTCTAAGGTCAGGGGCAGGGGCGAGGGTGAGGCCTGGGGCTCCGGGGGTACCAGGAGTCCCGGGGGTGCGGAGCTGCCAGGGAGCCAGACGCCTAGCCCGCGAGCCAGGCGCATGGCCGGGGTGGAGGGGGTCACCACGGGCTCCGCCAGGGACGTCCGGCGGGAGTCGGAGGCGCGGTCCGAGGCCTGCTCTTTTCGGGAGCCCCCGCCCGCGGACGGCTCCGACTGCACGTTCCCCATGTCTGAGCGGGGTCGGGGACTGTGGCCAGAAAAACTTCCACAAGTCACTCTGCGCAAGCAGTCCTGGAGGCTGGCTGAACTTGACCCTACCCGTAAGCACCGGCCCAGCCCCTGTCCTCCAAGATCCACTCAGTTCTTAGCCGCTATCCTGCGCTCCTGGCCCGCTGACTCTCGACGCTCATGCCCTCTTCCCCACGGCCTCCAACAGTCGCTGTTCAGACACGCAGGTCCCAACCCCTCCACTAAGGTCCAGTCCCTACCCCCTTGGCTGGTCCCTCACTTTGGCCACGCCCCCGATCTCCAGCCTTCAAGACTCAGGTCTTGCCTGCCTTCCGGTCGGTCACTCAGGCCACATCAGTCAGGATGGTGGTGTCCAGTAGCCTACCAGGCCTACAAGGAGTTCAGGTTTCTCTAATCCGGCTCCAGGCTCCCAGGCCTCGCCCCCGCTCTCTAGTCCCGCCCCCAATTGTCAGGGAATCGGGCCTTCGCTGGGTCTCTACTCCCCTCCGGCCCAACCTCTACCTAACAAATACGAGATAGTCTACTCGGTTGCCGGCGAGTCGATTCCAACTCATAGCGACCCTACAGGACACGGTAGAACTGCCCCATAGGGTTTCTAAGGAGCGGCAAGTGGATTCGAACTGCCGACCTTTTTGGTTAGCAGCCGAGCTCTTAACCACTGCGCCACCAGGGCTCCACCTCTAACCCTCTGATTCGTCTCTGTCGATTATTTGGGTCCTGCCCTTTTCCTAGACGGCGGCAACCCTCGGGCCTCCTAAACTTCTTTTCCCTCTCGGGGTCTACCGGCACCCTCAGAGCTCCACCCCTTTCCCCAAGCCCCGCCCTGACTCCGCCTCCGCCCAGGGGTCCCCACTCACCGACTCCTCCAGCCGTCCGAAGTTCAGACCGCGGCCCCCTTGGGCCCAGGGCAGGGCGGGGAACGGCCGCAGCAGAAAATAACCGAAAAGAACGGGGGTGCGGATGAAGGCAAGCGGGCGAGACGGCGAGGGCGGACCCCGAGATCTAGGCCCCGCCCCAGGGCTCGAGGCCCCGCCCCCCTGCGAGCCAGCTGGAGCCCGGCCCCTTAAGAACCTGGTTGTCCCTTCGAAATACTCCGAGGTCTTCTTCCCCGCCCCCAGGCCTTTTAGTCTCAAGCCCCACCCCTTTAGAACGTTCTCCTTAGCCCCTCCCCTTTAGAATGCCCCGCCCCTTCCCTTATTCCTTTCCCCAAAGCCCCGCCCATTACGAACTCGGCTACGTAGCTCCTCCCTTTTGGACCTTCCATTTGCCCAGCTCCGGAGCCATTTACCTCTAAGCTCCGCCCTTTTAGGACGCGGCAACACCTCTTCCCAAGACCCTCTCCTTCCTCGGGCCCGCCCAGAAAGCCCATCCACCAGTGACCGCCCCTTCCATGACGCACACCCTAGTCCGCGCCTTCAGCGTCCTCGCCCTCTCCTTCCCCGGGCCCTCCGACCCCGCCCCTTTGCGAACGCTCCCTCCTCGCCCCACCCCTTTTGGAACCCTGCCAGGCGCCCAGCCCCTCCGATTTAGAACCCAAAGCGTAGACCCCCGCCTTTTCAGAACCCTGAGTCCACGACCTGTCCGAGACCCCTGCCCACATGCTCAGGGACCAGTGGCGCGGATGGGTGGAAAAGTGTGGGATTCCTTCTGGGCCCTGGGAAAATGGGAGCTGGGGGGCTGCTCGCGAGCGCTGGTGCCGGGCTCTAGGACCCAGCGGGCAAATCCGCCCGCCTCGCGTTCACCCCTCCCCCAGGCCGCCCCCTCCCCCCTCGACCCGTCTTCCAGGTTCCCCCTCCCTCCCCCCTCGACCCGGCTCCCGGTGCCCGCCTGTAGCGCCGCCGGAGCCAGCGAGGGAGCCGGAGCGAAGAGGAGGAGGATGAGGCCGCGTCGCCGCCGCTCGGAGCCCGGCCGGGGCCTCCCAGGCAGGTGCCGAGGGGGGCGAGTGGGCGGGGGCGGACAACCTGCCTGCCCGGTAAGGGGGCGCTAGGACCGCGCTGCGCCTCCTGCCCACCGGGGCGACCCTCGGACCCTAACTGGGAGGACACGGGAATGGGAGCCCCCAAACTGCGCGGCAGCCATTTGGGGGGTCAGTCTCCATTTGGGGGCCTGGTCTTCCTTCGAGGATGCCCCATTCATAAAATTCCGTCCTGGACCCCTACCATTGAAGAACTCTAGGGACCACTCCCCCAGGGGACCACAGGTGTGCGGGGAGAGTCGGGCACCCAGAAATCCCGGTGCCCCCTCCCAGCTAGGCCCTGGAGAGACCCCTGCGCTCTTTCCCTGCTTCACCTGTTGTCGGGGGAGGCGGGCGGACAAAGGAAGCGCCGTCACGTGACTGCTCATTCACAAAATCCCATCCCATTGAGAAAAGGGGGCTGGGGGCGCTGCGGCCGCCCCTTCCCCTCCCAAAGGGCCAGGGAAACCCGGCAGCCTGTAGGTGGGGGGAGGGGGCTAGAGCTCGTTGCCTGAGTCCCTAAGGTTGGGACACCAGGGTCCCTGTGCTGGGAGGCAGTGAGGGTCTGGACGCTGATCCGGATTACTGGGTGGAGAGCTAGTTCCCTAGAGCTGGGGGGGCGGGGTAAGATGGTTCTGAAGGATGCTGGGGGGGAATGGTACCCCCCTCCTACGCGATCCCCCTTGCCTTTCCTCGGCTGGGGCCTGAGGGAGCAGGCTTGATTTCTGTGAATGAAATGCTCTCTGGATGTGCTTCCTCGTTGCTGGCTTCCTCTGCCTCCATCCCCTCTCGGCCTGTCTCCCTGCCCATCTCCCATTGCTGGGTGACTCAGTGAGCTTTGCATCCGGTCTCATTCATAAATCCGGGAAGGGGTGGGGGGAAGAGAGCCTGAGTTTCTCACCCAGCCAGTGTCCTGGGCGGTGGGGTGCGGAGGCAGTGCAGGGGGACAGGAGCTGGGTTGGTGGGCCCTCAGAAAATCCATATGCGCAGGCACCCAGTTGTGAGGGGGGAATGATGGGTGGGGCTGTGGGGCTGTGTGGAGGGTGGAGAGGGAGACAGGGGTGATAGGGGATGAGCAAGAGGAGGGGGGTAGAAAACCAAGGCTGTGGGGTGGGGCTGGGGGACAGGGTGGGCACAGGAGGAAGGATGGCGTGGGGAAAAGGAACTATGATGGAAGAAGGTGGGCCCAGGGAGAAAAGGGCATGGGGGAGAAGGGGGGTATCATGGCTAGAGGGGCAGTGGATCCCGATGTGAGAGCTGATGAAGGAACGGAGGTGAGGGCTGGGGTGGCACTGAATGGGGGAGCAGGACTTGGGCTCACTGATGATGTTTTCTCTGTCCCCCCACCTCCTCCAGGTACATGGTGCGGGGTCCGAGCCGTGGTGATGGCCCGAGATGACTCCAGTGGGGGCTGGCTGCCTGTGGGGGGCGGGGGCCTCAGCCAGGTGAGCGTATGTCGGGTCCGAGGGGCCAGGCCCGAGGGGGGGGCCCGCCAGGGGCACTACGTCATCCACGGGGAGCGCCTCCGGGACCAGAAAGTGAGCCACCCTGGGGCGTGGGGTGCGGTGGGGGACTGGGGAGGCAGGGGGATGGGGCTGGGGGTGCAGAGGAGAGGTCAGGTGATCTTCCAGCCTGGGAATCAAACCTGGGGTATGGGATGGAGTTTGGAAGGGAATATCAGTCCTATGGATGAGAGCTGGGAGTGTTGGGAATTACTGGGGAATTAAGTGGGTCCTGTCTGCTGCCTTCTCCTGCTGGACCATCACAGCAGCGTCCCCACGGCCTCCCTGCTCCTGCCCTTGCTTGCTCCCACCTCCCCCAGTCGGTTATCACTCACTCAAAGCCGCAGGGACCCTGGTTATCACTCACTCAAAGCCGCAGGGACCCTGTTAACACCCGACATCAAATCCCTTCTCTGCTCAGAACCCTTCTGTGGCTTCCTCTTGCCCTGAGAGCCTTACCTCCAGGGTCCACACAACCTGCCCCTCTCTGCCCCAAGTGTAGGGAGGCCTTTGGTAGGGAACCGTTTGGAAATGTGGGTTTAGCAGGAAATTCTAGGTTGTCTGGCATGATCTGAAGGGACGATACTAGAAATTTCAGCTGAGGATGCAGGAGAAAGACTTGCAGCCTTTGAAAAGGCTTGGGTGAGGGGCTGCATTTCAGAGCAAAGGCTGGCAGGAACCATGTGGGGGATTTGAAATGCTGTGATGGAACGTGGACATGTCGTGTGAGGACAGGAGGGGGCGTCTAGGGTGTTGACCAGCATCTTAGGAGTTTAACAAGAATATTTTTGAGTAAGGTTTTTTGGGGGGATTATTAGGGTATCAGAAGGGGGTTAACAGTAATATTTTGAGATGTTCAGTGAAGTCTGGGGAGCATTATTGAGTCAGAAGGGGGGACACTGGGTTATTGGAAGGCAGTTAACAGTAAGTCTTTGAGGCATTCAGTAAGGTTTGGGGGCTCGCATAGAGGTATTAGGAAATGCAGGGATACCCCAAGGGGCTTGGGGGAAGTCCTGGAGCATCAGGTGTGCTTAGTAAACTTGAGGAGTGGACTTAGGGTGTTGATCAAGGATCAGGGAAACACCTAGGGCTGGGAAATGAGGCTTGTGGGACACTGGGGTGTACAGAGGGGCTGGGGGCTGAGGAAGCCACAGGTATACATGGCTGGGTGGAGGTGACCTACCCCTCTGCCCCTTCCGGCCCCCTCAGACCACTCTGGAGTGCGCCCTGAGGCCGGGCTTGGTTTACAACAAGGTGAACCCCATCTTCCACCACTGGAGCCTGGGTGACTGCAAGTTTGGGCTGACATTTCAGAGTCCTGCAGAGGCCGATGAGTTCCAGAAGAGTCTGCTGGCCGCACTGGGTCAAGGTGAGTGGCCCAGGTAGTGGGTGCTGGGGGCAGGAGGAGCAGGGGCCTGGCGACTTACTCTCTGCCTCTCTCCCTGCCCCAGGCTCGCTCACTCCCTCCTCTTCCTCCTCCTCCTCCTCCTCCCCTTCCCAGGACACAGCTGAGACCCCCTGCCCCCTGACGGTGAGTCTCAGTCTCGGTGCAGCTCTGCTGGGAGGGCAGGGGTTTGTTTCTCTTCCACGAACATTCCTGAGCACCTACTGTGTACCAGGCACCGTGCCGCATCCTGGGCCCAAATTACAAGTATCAGTTCAATCCCAGCCATTCTAGTTTTCTGTTCTAGCGTGATTCACACATTCATTCAAGGGTGTTTATCGAGTCCCTCTGTGTGCCAGGCAGTGTTTCAGGCACTGAGGCCACGTCAGTGAACAGAACAAAGTCCCCTTCCTTGTGGAGCTTCTGTTTTACAGAAGGCAGAAAATAAAATCGATGAACTAAAAGAATGATTAAAGATGAAAAATAAATGGATGAATAAATGGATGACAACTCCATCCTTCCAGTTACTCAGGCCACAAGCGTCGGAGATGTCCCTGACTCCTCCTCATTTTTTTATGCACCTCATCTCATCTGTCAGGAAACCCTGGTGGCTCAGTCGTTAAGAGCTATGGCTGCTAACCGAAAGGTCGGCAGTTCAAATCCACCAGGCGCCCCTTTGAAACTCTGTGGGGCAGTTCCACTCTGCACTGTAGGGTCGCCATGAGTCGGAATCGACTCGACGGCAACAGGTTTGGTTTCTTTTTGTTTTTTGTTTTCGTCTCATCTGTCAGCAAATCTTGACTCCACTTTGAAAACGATCAGAATCTGCCTCTACCGTCATCTCTCACCTGGACCATTGCAACAGCTTCTCCCTGTCTATTCCCCTCTTCTTCCCCAACCCTGTCCTCTATAGCCTATTCCCCACACATAGCCAGAGGGACCCTACCAACACCATGTCAGATCCCGGCCTGCCTCTGCTCAGAACTCTCCCAGGGCTCCGTCTCACTCGGGGTAAAGGACAAAGTCCTCACTGTGGCACATAAGGCCCCATGCCATCTGCGCCCGTTACTCTGCCCCTGGCTCCCTCAGTTCCAGCCACACTGGCCTCCTCACTGTTACGCCAACGGGGCAGACACGTTCCTGCCTCAGGGCCCTTGCAGTGGGTGTTCCCTCTGCCTGGAACACTCTTCAGCCAGATTTTCACACGGTTCATTCCCTTATTTCCTGCAGGGCTTTACACAGATAGCACCTTCTCAGCGGGGCCCTCCCTGAGCAACCCATTCAAAATTGTGATCCCTGTGCCCCTTATCCTGTTCTGTTTTTTCATCTTCTAAGGTATTTTCCTGGTTTTCTTTCAAAATAGATAATTTTCTTATCAGTTTACTGTCCGTCCCCTGTGCTAGAACGTCAGCTCCAAGAGGGCAAGGATCCTTGTTCGTTCCTTGCAGTGTTCTTGGTACCTCCGGCCGTGCCTGGCACCCAGTCAGCGTTCAGTAAATGTGCTGAATTAAGTGTTTGCATGAATGAATGCACATAATGCCGGCTTCGATTTGGCATTTGTGGGGAACAGTGGAAGTTATGGAGAACACCTGGAGGAACAAAGCTGGATCCCTGGGCAGAAAAGGGGGGATCCGACAGTAATGGGGGTGGAGGTGGGACCACAGCCTCCCACTTAATGTAGCGTGCCTTCCGCGCTGTCTCTCGCACCTTCACGATGGCCTTTGAGGGCCTGGCATACTGTGGGTGCTCAGTGAGTGTTTGGGGAAGATAATGAATGAATGATGTAGAAATTACCCCCAAGGGACAGAAAGGAAACTGAGTCCCAGAAGTGATGTCTCAGCTAGTAACGGGCAGAGCCTGGTTTGGATGGGAAGGCTGGTTTGGAAGGGTACCCCAGGTGGGTGGGACAGCCCCAGTACAAGTGTGGAGGTGGGAAGGAGGCAGGATGGAGGCTGTCTGGCCAAGGGAGAGAGGACCTGAGAAGGGAGAAGGATAATGTGGTTTTCCATAGGTTGATGAGCTGGGCAAATAAAAATAAACCAAACCAAACCCACTGCCCTCGGTGGATTCCGACTCATAGCGACCCTATAGGATAGAGTAGAACGGCCCCATAGGATTTCCAAGGCTGTAATCTTTATGGAAGCAGACTGCCACATCTTTCTCCCGGGGAGATGCTGGTGGGTCCGAACCACTGACCTTTTGGTTAGCAGCTGAGTGCTTTAACCACTGTGTCACCACGGCTTCTAGATAAGAACCAACCAAACCAAACCAAACCCGTTGCCGTCAAGTCGATTTCAACTCATAGTGACTCTATAGGACAGAGTAGAACTGCTCCATAGAGGTTCCAAGGAGCGGTAGATTAGAACTGCCAGCCTTTCAGTTAGCAGCCGAGCACTTAACCACTGCGCCACCAGGGCTCCTAGATAAGGACAGAGGTCTAATAATAACAGTAATCATTCCTTGCTCTTCCTGTACTTCAGGCAAGTGCTATGTCCTTTACAGGGGATCCTAACCACATCCTTATAAATAGACACTTATGATCCCATTTTACAGAGGAGGAAACTGAGGCTCAAAGAGGTGAACTCTCTAGCTGGAGGGTCACACAACCAGTCATTGGCAGAGCCGGGGCTGGAACCTCAGAGCCCTCTGCTCGCGATGGGAGGGGGTCTGTGTGAGGGCATCGGCTGTGCCGGGGTCCCGCGCTGAGGCCACCGATCTCCCCCAGTCCCACGTGGACAGCGACTCCTCCTCCAGTCACAGCCGCCAGGAGACGCCTCCTGCCCTGGCGGTCCCCATCGTCACCATGGAGTCAGCTTCTGGCTTCGGGCCCGCCACACCCCCCGAGCGCCGTTCCTCGGCTCAGGTACGACCTCTGACCCCAACTGAAGTCTGGGGCTCTCAAGGGAGTGGGGCGTGGCGCTGGGGTCCCTCAGGGGGCGAGAGGTGAGGCCCAGGTGGGCAAGAGAACAAACACCCTTTGGGATTGTTGAACTGACTGCTAGGCTTGTGGGGGTGGGGGGAGGCTTGGAGGCCCAGGTTCCTCTAGCGTTGGGTGGGGGCTTCCCACCTCTCCTGCGCTCTTAAGAGATTTTGAGAAGTTCTGACTCTAGATTCCAGAGCGATTTTTGGGACAGCTTAAATCATTAATTCTAATGATGTATTGGGATGCTGGTACTCATGGAAGGGGGGCTTTCAGACTGCTTAATTCACCATAGAGTTGAGGGGGGGTTTGGAACCCAAAGGGTCAAAAGGACTTGGGGACTGGACTCCTGGGTCTGAGGGTAGAGGGTGCTGGGTGCCGGAACTCCTGGGTCTTGAGGGGGGACAGAGCTGGGAGCCTTGAAGTGGGACCTTGGTGCCTGGATTCCTCGGCCCCTAAGAAAGGAGCGCGCTGTGGGGCTTATTCCTGTATCCCTGGGAGAGGAGTGGGCTGGGGGCTTAGAAACCTGAGTCTCGGACCCGGGAGCATTTTAGGAGACAGGGTTCTTGAGTGAATGAGGCCTGTGACTGGGTCTTTGCATTCTTGGGTCTTCCAGGACTAGGATGGATTGGGGTGGGAGTGGGAAGGGGTCTTAGACCCCGCTAACCTGCTTCCTTGTCAATTCGTCTTGCAGAGCTACCCTCCACTCCTACCGTTCACAGGGATTCCGGAGTCCTTAGAGCCCCTGGCCGACCCCGGGGGCCCAGGCTGGGGCGGCCGAGGCTACGAGGATTACCGGCGCACAGGGCCGCCCCCGCCCCTCGCCCTGTCCACCTGTGTGGTCCGCTTTGCCAAGACCGGCGCGTTGAGGGGGGCAGCCCTGGGGTCCCCCGCGGCACTACCCGCCGCTCTCACGGAGGCTGCGCCCCCAGCGCCCCCAGCACGCCCACCTCCGGGTCCGGGCCCCGCCCCTGTGCCTGCCAAGGCCTCCCCAGAGGCGGAGGAAGCCGCGCGCTGTGTGCACTGCCGCGCGCTCTTCCGCCGCCGGGCTGATGGGCGTGGCGGCCGCTGCGCCGAGGCCCCGGACCCGGGCCGCCTCCTGGTGCGCCGTCTCAGCTGCCTGTGGTGCGCCGAGAGCTTGCTGTACCACTGCCTGTCAGACGCCGAGGGCGACTTCTCGGACCCATGCGCCTGCGAACCGGGCCATCCGCGCCCCGCCGCGCGCTGGGCCGCGCTGGCTGCCCTCTCCCTCGCCGTGCCCTGCCTCTGCTGCTACGCACCCCTCCGCGCATGCCACTGGGTCGCTGCGCGTTGCGGCTGTGCCGGCTGCGGGGGTCGCCACGAGGAGGCGGCGCGGTGAGGACGGCCTGGCGGGTCCCCTGTAGCCGGACCAAGGACCCAAAATTGAGGGTCCAGGACACCGGACTCCATTCGGACCTAAAACTCAAACCCAGGCGCACCCAGAACTTGGAGCTTGAGTTTGGATTGAGAGACCCCAGACCCGGAATCTGGACCCAAAATCTAGGACTGAGATACCCCAGGCCCTTCTTTTTGGGGATGTTTGCCCAAGAGGTCTCAGGCATCCTGAGTTCTGATGCCCCCACCCACGGCCCAGACTGAGGGGAGTCCAGGCATCCCCAGCCTCTACATCTCAGACATGCCGGGGAGCGCAAAGGTCCCTGAAAGAGCGAGACCCTGACCCCGTGTCCAAATTACCAACGCAGATCTAATCCCACCTGGCACCATGAACCCTCAGATTACAGGATTCCAGAATTAGATACGAGTTGCCAATACCTGACCCTGCCTGGATCCAGTTACTCCCAGATCTTGAAACGGCAGATCACCCAAAATGGTCCCTGAATGCTCACCTAAGACCAGGGGCACCCGTACCTGAGATGTCCTTATAACCCCAGGACCCCTGAGACTCCAACCCTTCTGGCTCTCAGACTCCAGTGTTCTGTAATGGCCCGATTCTGGCCCCAAGACCCCACAGACAAACACACCTAGATCTAAGATGTCCAAATAACCCCAGGCTCCCTAGGACCGAGACTTTTAAAATGCCCTGAGTCCTTGGATATGCTCAAACATGAGATGTTCTCTGGCCAAAATGAATTGGGAGACCCACCCCGGAGCCCCCCAAGACCCAGATGTCAGATGCCAAGATGCTCTGGGAGCCAGGGAAGACCTCCATAGACCCATCCACTCCCAAGCCAGTATTCCCAGGATCTTTTGATCTGTGATCTAGGACCCTGAGGTTCCTGGTACCCCCAAATGTAGGGCTGAAGGCCACCCACACCTCAGGACCCAAGACTTTGGTCCCCAGACCTTAAATATCCTCCTTCTGGTTCCCATTGGACCCATGTTTCAAGACCCAGAATGCCCTGGAATCTTTGACTACTTTGTACTCACAGACCCCCAACCCCCTAAAGGCTGGGAGCCCATCCCACAGTGGATAGGATGGCCATGGTCACCCAGACCTCTGACCACTTGGCTCCCAGTCCCTGAGTGACCCCAAAATACTTTAGGAGCACTGGATCCAAGACCCCAAGGTGCCATTGACCTCCAAGATCCAGGATCCAAGACTCCACGACGTTGGGGTTGTCTCTAATCCAAGACTTTGGTTCCCCTATGCCAGGGATATCCACATCTGAGGTGCCCTGGGAGCTCCATCTCAAAGCCCCAGTACCCCAGGACCCTCAGACTCAGATTTCTTTGGACTCAAACCTCTCTCGCATGATGAAGCCCCAGAGATGCCTCTATGCCTAACTCCCCAGGCCCAGCATGTGCATCCTCTGAGACCACCCCTTGCACCCTGCCATCTAGACCTACCGCTGAGACACCGAGGTCCCAGTTCTGATGCCGAGGATCCCAGCATCCTTAGAATTACCCTTTCCCTCTAGGGAAGAAAAATCTATCTTGAGCTCACATGTTGCCAGATTCCAGGGCCGCCTGGAAGCTCCCCAGTCCTATCTCCAGGACCCAGCATTGCTACGAATGATGGTGCAGGCTGTTAGCTAAGCAAGGGCGCACAGCTGAAGTGGTGAGTGGGGCTGGAGTTCACACTACACTCTGCTTGCCGAGCTGTGTCCTCAGAGGGAGAGGTACCTTTTTCTAATCGGCACAGAGGCACCTCTTCGGCTAGTTATGGCTCTGCCTGGGCCCCTGTCGTCTGGAGCTTTGCAGACCCTCCAAACCCACCCTGTGCCCAAGCCCTGCCTTTGAGGTTCTGCCCTCCATTAACCCGTTCTCCTCCATCGCAGAGTTGGGGGTTGCTCTGGAAACTTTGAAAGCCTGTTTCATGCCCTTCTGAGGCCCCTCCTCTGGGTAAGAACGTTGCCAGTTTCTTCCTGAGTGCAATGGGACTCTCAGTGTACCTCAGATTTGGATGTCCCCGTATGGGGGGGCGGGGGTCAGGGTCTCGGAACAGGGACAACCTCAGTGTTGTATGGACTCGAGCCCCGCATCTGGGGGTAGAAATGTGCACTTCCTTTTCTTCAATATCCAGACCTGGATGGCCTTGTGAGGGTTTACAGGACAGGTCCTCTGTCACTTCCTTTAAATTATTAACTATTTATTACTTCCGGAACCTGTGAGATTCAGCTCTCCCAACCAGACCCTGGGATGGGTGAGAGAAAAGGGGGGTGTCCCTCCCACCCCCACTCTGCCCAGCTCTCATCACTGTCAGACCCATCAGAGCTGAGGGTGAAGGGACTGGGGGCAGCCTGGGTCCCCATCCCCCTCTCTGTGCCTCGGTCTACCCCCTTCCTTGGTGGCGGGGGGAAGCTCCATTCTTAACCTACCTCGTTTAGGGAGGGGTGGGACGGGGGGCCAGAGTGCTGTACGGTGCTGTGGGATCTGCTCATGAAGCAGTGGGGGCCGGGGAGGTCCCCCCAGCCCCCACCTCTCAGCACTGCCTTTGCCAGGTCTCCCAGTCTTGCTCCCTGCTGATACCCACCTCTGATCCATGATTACCCTTCATCGCCCCCAAATCAGGGGCGTATGGAGCGCTGACCCTGGGAGCCAGGAAGACCTCAGACCCTGGAGCCCCCAGGCCCAATTTCCCAGCTGCTTGCCCCTCGGATTGAATGCTCAGCCCCCAGATTTGGGGGAAGGCACCCCAACATTTATCTTCCTGATCTTGATTTCAAGCCAGTCTGTAACCTCAATATCGTTATCGTCACTGCAGGCGGAAGTGGTGGGGGGTGGATGGGGGCCCAAGACCCAGCCTTGTCTTCGGGGGAAGGGGGCATGAGATATCAGCTCCAAGAAACGTCTGTGACAAAGTCTCAGTCTGTGTTCTTTATCTGCATCGACGAGACCCATCCACTCAGCTTCCTGAGCCGCCAAACCAGCCTCCTACCTCAACTCTCGTCTCCACATCCGTTAGTCCCAAGCAGACCTTCCAGCTGAGTTCTACACATTGAATCACTCAGCATATACGTTTACTGAGTATCCACTCTGTCTGTGCCAGGCCCTGTTCTAGGTGCTGGGGATAAAGCAGTGAACAGAGCAGCCACAAGACAGAGCTGTGTGAACTATATAGTGGGGGAGACAGTAAAGAAGTAAGTTACACAGTCTGTGTCTTAGGCTGGGTCCTCTAGAGAATCGAAACCAGTGAAGTGTATAAATATATATATATAGAGAGATTTATATCAAGGAAATGGCTCGTGTTGTTTTAGAAGCTGGAACATCCCACGTCTGTGGGTCAGGACAGAGGCTTCTCCTGACTCACGTAGCTGCAGGGTCTGGCCAACCCAAGATCAGCAGGTCAGAGAGCAAGGCTCTTGCTCACAGGCTGCAAAGATCGATCAATCCCAAGACTGGCAGGTAAGCTGCTAGCTCAAGTCCCAAGAACCGGAGGTCAGACAAACAGGAGCCCACTGCAGGATTCAGCATGAGCAAAAAGTCCCCAAGCCTTGCCAGAATGTCCACTTATATTCAATGCAGGCCACACCCCCAAGGAAACTCCCTTTCAACTGATCGGCTACTCACAGCAGATCCCATCATGGGGGTGATCACAACATCTTACGACTGTCAAACCACTGAGAATCATGGCCCAGCCAAGTTGCCATCCAACCTTAACCATCATAGTAGGTTAGAAATGTTATACACTCCAAGGAAAAAAATAAGTGGGGATGGGCAACACAGGCCGTTTTAGCTAGGGTGGTCAGGGAAGGCCTGACGGAGGAGCTACCATTTTGATGAAGACCTGAGGAAGGTAAGGAGTCATGTCTGGGTAACAGCGTCCCAGGTAAAGGGAACAATCTATGCAAGGGCCTGAGCGAGGAGTGTGCCTGTGACTCTAAAGAACATCAAGGAAGCCAGGATGTCTGGGAGGTAGGGAGTCAGCAAGGCGTACTAGGAGATGAGGACAGAGAGGTGACAGGCAGAGCGTGTGGGTCTCACAAGCCATTGTCTGAACTTTATCCCCCGAGTGAGAGGGACGCATGGGAGGGCTCTGAGCAGGGGAGGGCCGTGACCTGACTCAGGTGATCACAGGCTGCCTCTGGCTGCATGTGGGGAACAGACTGTGGGGACATGGGGAACAGGCAGTTAGTGAGGGGGCTGCTGTGATGGTCCAGGGGGAGACAATGGTGCATGGAACCAGAGTGGGAGCAGTGGAGGGGAGAAGTGGGAGATATCAGATCTATTTGGAAGGCAGAACCTACAGATTTAGACGTGAGATTCAATATAAAGAGTGGAGTCAAGGTGATGACTGAAGGTTTTGGCACGAGCAATTTTTAATGTTTTATTTAGGTCAACATATGCCCCCGTGAATGTCCAGAGTTGGCGTAGGAGGGCTATGGAGGGACTGGATTAAGGGAGCCCCAGGCCCTGCTTCTGAAGGGTAAGTTCTGGTCCTGGTTCTTCCCAGCCCACTCCCTCTCCTAGCAGAATCATCTAGGACCTACTGGAGTCCCTGGATGGTGCAAACGATTAATGCACTTGGCTGCTAACAGAAAGGTTGCAGTCCACCCAGAGGCACCTCTGAAGAAAGGCCTGGCGATCAACTTCTGAACAATCAGCCATTGAAAACCTTATGGAGCACAGGTTGCCATGAGTCAGAGTTAACGGAACAGCAACTGGTGGTACTAGTATGAGAGACCAGGATAGAGTAGGAAATAGATTAGATCTGGAACAATAATTTTAACAGTAGCTACAAAAATAGCAGTTATAGGTTAAATGTTTAAAAGCACGGAATTTGGAATCAGACAGATCGGAGTCTGAGTTCTGGCATCACCACACATTTGCCCTGTGACTTATCCTCTCTGAACCTCAGTTTTCTCCTCTGTGAAATGGAGATAAGATAGTTAACCCAGTAGCACACATGAAATGCTCAATGTATGTTAGTTGTTATTCTTGATTGAGTAACCCCACGTGCCTGCTAAGCACTTTTTACCTACAGGACTGTAATTAATCCTCAGAAACAACTCTAAGAGATAGGTACTGTTATGGTCCTCATTATGCATGGGACTATACCGTGGACTGACTGTCAGAAGAACAAATCTGTCTTGGAAGAAGTACAGCCAGAATGCTCCTTAGAATCAAGGATGGCCAGACGTCATCTCACGTACTTTGGACATGTTATCAGGAGGGACCAGTCCCTGGAGAAGGACATTGTCCTTGGTAAACTGGGGGGGGGGGGGAACTGTAGCTGTTGAGTCGCTTCTGACTCACAGTGACCCTATAGGACAGAGTCCAACTGCCTTACAGGGTTTCCAAGGAATGGCTGGTGGATCCAAACTGCCGACCTTTTGGTTAGCAGCCACGCTCTTAACCACTGTGCCACCAGGGCTCCTGGTAAACTAGAGGGCCAGGGATAAAGAGGAAGACCCTCAAGGAGATGGACTGACACAGTGGCTGCAACAATGGGCGCAAGCAACGATTGTGAGGATGGCGCAGGACTGGACAGTGCTTCCTTGTTTTGTCATAGGGTCGCTACGAGTCGGAACCGACCTCACTGCTCCTAACAACAACACACAGATGGGAAAGCAATGTGGCCGGAACGCAGGGGCGGTGAGCGGTGGCGTTAGACCCTAATCCTTGTCTGCCTGACTCCTAGGGTGCCATGTCTCAATCACGATGGAGTATTGCACCTGCTCCCTTTCTCCAAGGCCTATGGAGGGAGGGAGTGAAGGCCAAACGGGCACATTGCAATCGATGAGAGGAGACCCTAGCTCTGGCAGGATGAGAGGTGAGCGGTGAGCCGGGCTTCCTGGATCTCTCCAATGCTAAGTAGCAAAGGAGGAAGCAAGTGTCTGGATTTGGGGCAGAGCTGGGAGAACAATACTTGGTCTGGCGTGACTTAACAGTACAGGGCAACTGAGGGGGCAGAGGAAAAGCAAACCGAAGCTGCTTTTATGTCGCAACCGTAGCGACACCCACTGGCCTGTCGCGACAGCCAGCATCCGAAACGCGCGCTGCGAATTTACAGCGCCAGAGGGCGTTTCCAGAGCCTGGACAGGTTAACCGAAGGGCAGCGTGGGCGGACCTCGGGGCGGGCTATGCTGTCTCCCGCGCGAACTGGAAAGTCCAACCCCCTTCGTGAGAAGAGGCTGATTGGTCGGTGCTGCCACACGACGGTGCAGGGCCGGGTGCGCAAGCCTCTCCCCGGGCGGAGCCTCGCGCCTGCCGGCAGGGGGCGCGCACCGGGCGAACAGGGACGCGCTCATGGAGGGGGCGGAGGAGGGGGACGCGCTCATGGAGGGGGCGGAGGAGGGGGCCGCGGTGGCCCGGGACCTGCAGGCTTTAGGGTGAGGGCATGTGGCTGGAGGGTGCGGGGGAAGTGGGGGCTTGCCCTCAGGACCGGTACGGAGAGGGATTCTCGCTGACCTCCCCCACCTCCCGCTGCCTCGGCCCCGCCGCAGGTATGAGGGTTTCCTGGGGGCGGCGTCGCGGGGCACTTGGTGCTCAGACTTGAGGGCGCTGTGCGCGCAGCTGATGGCGGAGCTGGCGGCTCTGGGTGCCCTGAAGCAGGAGCAAGAGGAGGGCGCCGAGGCGCTGACTGCCGGCGACGGTATGTATAGACGGGAGGCCCGGAGGGGTGGAGCCCCGGGTTCCGCCGCATCGCCGCGTCCTGACGTCTCCCGCATCCTGCAGGCCTCTGCGCGGAGGAGGAATTCCTACGGCGGCTGGGCGACCAGCTGCGCGAGCTGCACTGCCCTGACCGCGCGCTGTCCGGCGGAGACTGCGCGGCCACGCTGCGGGCGCCCGGCGCGTGCCTGCGTCTGCTGCGTGAGCGCCCGGGGCTGGCTTACGGAAGCGGCCGCGGCTGCAGCCTTTTGGGCGGGTGGGGGGGCGGGCTCAGAATATTGGGGCGGGGACAGAGTTCCGAGGGGGGCGTGATCAGAGTTTGGCCGCGGGCGAGCGTGTCCCCGCTGTGGGTGAGGTCAGAATATGGGGGCGGGCAAAGGCCTCTGAGATGGGCGGGGTTAGAATTCTCACCAAGGGGCAGACGGCGGGTTGTAAAAGCTCTAGCGGGTTGCGTTAGATTGGTGGTCAGAAAGTGGGTGGGGTTCGAATTTGGAGGCGGGACCAGGGTACCGAAGTGGGTGGAGCTTATCCGGAGATCGCCAGAGTCCTAGGCGGGCGGGACTAGAAGCGGGGGGTTTTGAAGCCGAAGGTGGGGTTGGCAGCCCTCCTCAGTTGCACCACTTCCCCTTCTTTCCCGTCTCTTAGGCTTCCTCTGCTCTGAGCTCCAGGCTGCCCGCCTCCTGCACCTGCGTCACCCACTGGACCCCAGCCCTGCACAGCTCCTTGGCGAAGAGACAGAGGAGGGAGCTGGCATGGTCCAGGAATTAATCCTTACCCTCCGAGCCCTGGGGCTGCCCAGACCCACGCCAGGGACCCCCGCCAGCAGGCTGCTGCAGGAATTGCGTTCCAAGGTGGAGGGAGGCAGTCCCCCTCACCCTGACTATCGTCACCTCCTTGGGGTGGGGGCTCTTTCCAAAAGCTGCTCTGACAGGAGCGCCCCAACCACAGGGATGTTTTTCTAGAGCTGTGACCCCTTTCTCGCTTACGTAGCGTGCGCCCTTGGGGCAGTGGGGAACTGGGGTTCCATGGTGGGGCCCGTTGTACTTCTGCCCTAGTCAGCCTCTAACTCCTGCCATCAGATCTCGGAGCTGCTGCCTTCCTTGCCCCCCGGGTCCATGCAGCCCCTCCTCAGCCACCCGCTGGATGCGCGCAGATGGGTAAGACTTGTGTTCGCCGTACTTGAACAGTGTCCTCACCCATAGGTGAGGGGGAGCCCTGGAGTGACTGAGCACTGTACCCCTAGGAAGCGTTGGAGTCACTGTCCCAAAGCCTGCGAGACCAGTACCGCTGCCGCCGCCGCCTCCTCCTTACGCGACTGGACCTTACAACATCCGCTTTCCACTGGAGTGATCGGGCGAAGGTGTGGGAAAAGAACCGCCCTCGGCAGGAGCAGGGAGGCCGCGTTGTGGGGGCTACCGGTGCCGGGAAGGGATTGAGGGCCTGAAAGTCACCTTTTGCATGTTCTAAGGCCAAGACCGTTTTATAATCTTGTGAGGGTTTATATAATCTTTGCCCCCCCCGCCCCCCGGCAATCCAGAAGTCCCGGCTCTGACGTGGAAGTGTTTTCAGAGAGATGTCCCTTAATTTAGAGATGCAGGGAGTGAGACCCCAAGTGAGGAAGAGATGCTTCCAAGATGCCAGATCTGACCTGGGGGGCGTTCTTGGGTGCCGTTTCCATTCCCACCCCCCACCCCAGGCCCAGGGAGAGTTCATGAAGGCCGTGCTGATCCCAATTCGAGAGGTGCTATCCCCAGAATCGGATGTTTCCATCACCCATGTCCTGGCTGCCCGAGCTGACCTGTCTCGCCTCGTCCCAGCCACCAGCGTGGCTGCCCGCCGGGGGACCTGCTGTGCTGTCAACAAGGTAGGCATCTGGGGACCCAGAAGGAAGTGGCAGCCTTGGCCTTCATATCTGGCCTTTAACCTTTGTCCTGGTCCAGCCTTATCCTTTTCTGCCTGAGTTCCTGGCCTCTGGACTCACCCCTTCCAGTCGACCGCTGGAACCATTTTTTAAGCAGAAATAACCTTTGTTTAAATGATTGTGTATTGAATCACATACCCCTTTGTCTAAATAATCTTACATTTATGTGAATGAGTACGAGAGAATAAAGTCTAGCACAGCAAAGAGTAGGGTAACAGTTAAGGGGAAAAAAAAGTGATTTTTTTTTAAGGAAAAACTATTTAGTAATATTACAGGTGTATATAAATGATGATTAGAAAAAAAATGCTGTTTTGCTGAAAATGTTATATGAAGCCCCAAATATGAAACAGACACAGCCGAGGTGCTCTCGTTAATACTGGGTGGGGACTTGGGCCTTTGGTGCCACCCTCCCCCGTATTTCACTCTTGCTGAGGTCCCTGGAACCCAGTTTGAAAGCCCCTGTCCTGTGTCTCACCCTCCAACCCCCCTCGCAGCCGCTGTAGCCAGATAGTAAACATCTCCCCTTTCTTTTGCACCCTTGCACTGTTCCCTTTCCTCCCTGGCCCCTTTCTCTAGGACATTTTTCTTTTCTGACATGCAAATCTAATCAACCCTCAGGTGCTTATGGGCAGCGTGCCAGACCGGGGGGGCCGTCCAAATGAGCTGGAGGCTCCCATGCCCAGCTGGCAGAGCCGAAGAGAGGGCGGAGACGGGCGCAGGGCAGGCCACCAGCGCTGGGGCCGCAAGAAGAAGAAGAAGGAAAGGGGGACCGGTGGTGGGGAGGGTCCTCCGTGAGATGCCGATGCCATTGGGGAGCATCTCTGGGGAGTCAGTTGGAAGGGTTCTCTAAGCACTGGGTATCCAGACCTCCCGATCCACTGTTCTGAGGTCCCAAACGTCCCCCTACCCCATCCACCACTCAACACCAAGGGCCGTGTCTTTTGGAAAATAAATTTAATTTATGACACCGGTAGGACCTATCTCTGGGGTCAGGTCAGGGGCATTCAAGCTTGAGGAGGGGTCAGGGGTCTCTGTCCCTTGAGTCTGGACGGGCCCCTGCTGCTCTGACTTGCGAAGTCCTGTGCTCTTCAGCAGCACATCTTTTCCTTCCTGTGGGCATGAGCAAAGATGTTCAGGCATGGGACCAACATTTATCAGGTGCCCACTGGGGGCTGGCACTGCAGATACAGCAATGGGGGAAACAGACCAAAACTTTTGCTTTCCTGGAGTTGACATTTGTGGTGAGGGGGGCAGACATTAAACAAGATAAATAGGTAAGATTCCTGGTTTTTCAGCTGGGATGACTGCTGTGGAGAAAAATAAAGGCGCGGGGTGGGATTGGGACTGTGGGGGATTGGGACTTTGGACAGGTGGTCACGGGAGGCCTCCCTAAGAAGGCGATCCTTGAGCAAAGCGCTAAAGAGGGCACCATGTAGGTCTCTGGGGAGGAGGGTTCCAGGCAGAGGGAACAGCCAGCGCAGTGGCCCTAAGGTACGAGTATATTGGCATGTTTATGGAAGACCAAGGAGGCCAGTGTGGCTGAAGGAGGGAGCAAGCAGTGAGAGGTGAGGTCAGAGAGGTGACACGGGCAGATCAGGGGACCTTGTGGGCCACAGTGAGCACTCCGGCTGTTACTAAGTGAGATGGAGCCCTGGGAGGGTTCTGAGCAGAGGAGGGTCATGATCTGACTCAGGTGTTGACGGCGTCCCTATTCCACCCCCCTTCCTAGCCTCCTCCTCTCCCCTCTCTGGAGCCCAGGAGTTTGGAACTCTACCCACCCTATCACTGTCTCCTCCTGATCCATTCTGTCAGCGTGGAAGATTGGTTAAACCAAACCAGACCAAACCCGTTGCCGTCCGGTCGATTCTGACTCAAAGCGAACCTATAGGACAGAGTAGAACTGCCCCATAGGGTTTCCAAGGAGCAGCAGGTGGATTCGAACTGCCAACCTTTTGGTTAGCAGCCGAGCTCTTAACTGCTGCACCACCAGGGCTCCAGAATATCGGTTAGGCGCTTCGATTTTAGAGGCAGACACATTTAAGTTTGAGTCCTGCATCTAGCACTTAGGAGCAGTGCCACCTTGGGCAAGCAGCTTAACCTCACGGAGCCTCAGTTTCCTCATCTGTAAAATGGAGATTACAAGGAGTTGGTGAGTGATGCCTGTGTCTAAATGTTTCTAACATAGAGCTGCCCAAATACTAACGATCAGGAAATGGAGCTGTGATCAATAGCCACTGTTATGCAAAAGATGGAAGCTCCAACCAAGGCAGTGTGGATTGGAAGGAGGCAATGCAATTGGGAGTTCTGCTGGGGATGGAATAACAGGACTTGGTGACTGACTTTGTGAGGGTGAGGGAGAGAGAAAAGCCCAAGACAATGCCTAGGAATTGGGCTTGGAGGACTGGGTGGATGGTGGGGCCGTCGTTGGGAAGGGGACCTGGAAGGAGGAAGACATTGGGTGATGCGGGGGGTGAAAGGTGCCGGGAGCTTTTGCTGAGTGGATGAATAAATGTCCCTTGTAGACTATTTTCTGAAATCCAATCTGAGAGTCTCTGCCTTTGAATAGTAGAATTTACTCCACTGACATTTATTATACGTCCTGATAGCTTTGGCCTTATTCTTGCCTTCTTGTTTTCTTTCTTTTTTTTCCCCTTCCCCTAAATCCTTCTGTTTTACTCATGGTTACCCTTAAATTTCCATTTTCTATTCTATTTTTCTGTCATCATTAAAAATTAAGCAGTAGCTATACCCTCCTACTGCACCTAAGCAATTGAGAAGTTTTATACATTTTTACTTTCCTAGGCTTCCCTAAATCTGATTTTGCCCAGGGAAATGGCCTGGTCTGCCCTGTATCCAGCTGGGGGCAGGGGACAGTTCCTCCTCACCATCTCTGGCACCCAGGAAGGGGGTGGGGGCTCCGTCTGGGTCCAAGCATGGTGAAGGAGGGACTCAGTCTCAGAGTCCAGGGTCAGTGTGTCAGGGAGAGTTTCCTCAGAGCCTGTTTGTGGGATGATGGGTAGAAAGGACATGAGGTAATGAAGGGAGGGGCCTCATGACCTTGGCATTTATCCTCATTCACCAGGCCCCCTTTCCACGTCTGCCACACCCTGGGTCTTACCACAGCTGGCATGGGGAACTGGCGTGGATGGGACGGGGGCTTCTGGGAGGCCCACATCGCCCTTGGCCCCCGGCCTCTTCTTACACTCCACCTTCACCTGGTCTCTGCAGTGTTTGTGGCAACAGAGCCCACAATCTGGGGGAGGGTCAGCGGTCAGCGGCCAGGGACCCAATCATGCCCTCCCGTTCTCCCAGCCTACAGGTCCTGGACTCACTCCCCTCGCCAATGCCCTACTCACCCCGGCAGCGGTAGCCTTGCTTGGTTACCCCCCAGAACTGGGAAAAGAAAGCAGAATATGTTACCCATAGGGAAGGGAGGACTATAGATTGGGTGTATGTCTTTCTAGGAACCATCCAGATGGCATGGAAACCTTCCAGATTTTGGAAATCCTCCAAGACCCTACTGGGGGTTAACTAGGACTTGGAAATTAAAGGACTTTGGAGGTTATCTGAATTTGGGGGATCATCTAGCATATTAGAGTTAAGTGACTTTGGGAATTTATAAAATGTAAATGTCTGTGAACAGGGATTGTGTTCCTGCTGTATCCCCAGAGCCTAGAACTGTGCCTGGCCCACAGGAGGTGCTCAGTACCCATTTGGTGAATGAGTACATGAGTGTGGGAAGCAGTCCAAGGTTTGTGAATTAGTTTTGGTTTGGAAGTTGAAAGATTTGTCCATTACCAAGAGTTTGAGGACAGCTTGAATTTGGAAATTATCCAGGGTTTGAATTATCTGGAATCTGGAGATAATCTATCCAGGTCTGTAGATTATATATAGAGTTTTAGATATTATCCATGGTTTAGACATTATCCAGAATTTAGAGATTATCCAGGATATAGGGACTATCCAGTGGGGATTATTTGAGTCTGGAGGATTGTCTGGAATTATCCTGGGGTAAGGCTGGCTTTCTGGGCCCAGGCTGGGGGCAGTTGGGACGTTCCAGGGGACAGGGCAGAGTGCTCACGAAGCCGCTGCAGCTGTCGCAGAAGGTGGGCTTGCGG